CTATAATTCTTATAATGTAGAATAACATACAATAAATAATAAATATTAGAATTATAAAATAATGTGTGGTGATTGAGAATATATAATATACTATTATTATTAATTATCATCATCATCATCATCATCATCATCATCATCATCATCTCATCATCATTCATCATCATCATCATCATCATCATCATCATCATCATCATCATCATCATCATCATCATCATCATCATCATCATCAATCACATCATCGTTATTATCATATCATTATTAATCATTATATTATTACTGTTTTTAACATTACGGTCATTACTATCATTATCATTATTTCAATGATTGTTATCATTATCGCTATTATAATCATTATGATTAATACTACTATCATTATCATTATCATTATTGTTACTATCTTTATCATTATAATCACTACCATCAACGTCTCTCATTATCGTCATCATCACTGGGGTGGAAATCTTTCCCTTCCCCCGAGCTACGCCGCTGTAACGGAAACACTGTTGGGATAGGCCAAGGCTCACGACTGCGTTGAAGCAACAGTCATATATAGGACATTGGAGATAGCTTAAAGTGAAGATAGGAAATCTCTGTTCATCTATGACAATCTTAACTACTATATATTGGATGTTAGCTTAAACAATATATATATATATATCACGAATGTACAACGAAAATCGCACACACAACAAATAGGAAAAAATTATACGCTTATCTTTGCATACGTCTGGCAGCGCAACATACCGACTACCTTCCGGAAACATTGTCTATCACAACATTGATTATCGAAAAATGCATCCAGTTTCTTCATTAAAACATTTAAACTAAATACATCAAACATAACACTCTTTTCAGCAAGGTAAATGGCTGATGAAAAACAGGATATTTAAGAAACAAATAATCTGTTAACATTGTATACAACAGAGGGATCTGGCACTTCACCCTGTCATTTTGTTGGGCGTTCTCCAAGGGTGTGCCAGACGTGTTAGAGAAGTCGTAGTGCACAAACAGTGTTCCGTAGGGAACGAAATTAAGGTTAGAGAGATTCCTTAACAGTTTAGCTTGATGTTTTTGACAGTTTGGTACGTGTAGCAATGGCTTGCAGCATGTTTAATGTTGGTGTAAAGATTGTATGTGGGTGGTTTCATCGAGAAATTCTAATAAATAAATAAAAATAATGTAAGTTAGGCTTACCATTCCGAGAAGGCTCTGTGGTGTGGCATACGCTGCATGCGTCTTTGCTTCTTCGTTAAATGAGATGCCTTTATTTCAGTTGATCTTTCTTTGGAATTCATGGTAGCTCACTGGCATTTTTATGAATACCAAATTCAAACCAGACTTTTCTATATAAACATATGTATGCATGTATTAGACGTTTATTATTTATTTATGTAGTTACACGCATGTCAATTGTGTTTGATATTAACGTTTTTCCATATTCATGTATTTGTTACGCATGTTATTAAAACAACTGCGTGACCGGTATGAAAGGAATGAGCCATAATCTCGTGGTGATGTTCGGTGTCATTGCCTGGAATTCCTGTTACATGGAAACTATTTGGTGACTCATCAGCCTTTCCCAAAACCGTTTTATTTTCTTAAAGTTTATTTTTTATTTTGGTTTTGAAAAGAAAGCTGAGATAGAATATTGTTTTATTGTTCAACACAAGTGGATAAGGACTGCATATATACATATTTATTTGTTTGATTGTTTATTCTCCTTAATGGAAATTGCCACCAGTACTTTTGCTGTATTTACGTATTTTCACCTTTTAACTACTATTAATAATTCGAAAGTGATATTTATGGCAATTTGAAAATTTGGCTACTAAGATGACAACACCAATATTATACAGATAATCAGAATTAGACAGTCAATATTACTTCACACCTTTTTCATTTTTGCTTGGTTGAAGAAAAGATATTCAAGACATTAAAATAAGTTTTTTGTTAATCCGTCCGCACATAAGTTACGAATTAAGTCATCCCTCTGTTTTCGTTTTCTTCTTTAAAACCAGCTCTATGTAATGTGAAAAGAGAACGAACAATGGCAACGGAATTATTATTGTTATTTATATTAGATGTTAATTTACATGATGTATAAAACCGCACATATCAAAATGAATGGTATTGAGTGGCCGGGAGTTAGATTTATCCTACAGTAAAAATAAATGAATATATATATATAGAGAGAGAGGGGGGGGGAGAGTGGGAGGGAAACAGAAACAGGAAAGGATGTATATAGTTGAGTCGGTGACTAAATTATTTGTCTCGTTTGAAGAACGTAAAGCTTTCAATTTAAAAGATAGCATTGGACAAAAAAAAAAAAAAAAAAAAAAAAAAAAAATCACTTGATTGATGTACACATAGTTGTCACGAGTGCTCAAAGATAAAAGTGTTTATCATTTGTTGATTATCAAGGCTATACGGTGCATTGTTGCGTCATGCTTGATAAAATGGGAAAAAATGAAATCATACATCGCACTTTCGTCATATGAGGTTCGTTGACGCAAGTATTTTTTAAAACCCACGGAAGTTCCAAGGCATTTACACAACAGCGTCGTTTCCTACAGATAAGTAAACAGTCAAGTTATTCCTCCCCTAGACGCAGTTGTGAAAGTAAGAGGTGAGTGGAATGAAAGTTCTCTTGGCTGGAGGCTTTATTGGGGCAGGTCTACGTAAAACCGAGCGAGGGACAGGGACCCGCACCCCGGGGGCCGAGGGCGGGGCGGGGATAGGCGAAACCGTCGTCCCTCTCTCTGCGGGGCTGCTGTTGGCGAGACGTCCTCTCGTGCAGCTATTCCTTGTGAGGGCTTAGCTTCCTTATGCCACAAAAGTGTCATAAGTGGAAGTAAAGTGAACACTTGCGTCCGGTGAAGGAGGAAGACAGTTGTGGGAGACGGAGGTGCGAAAGAGGTCTTTGAGCCTATTGTACAATCACAAGTGACTGTAGGACTGAATGTGATCAAAAAAAGTTTCCTTCGCACACTTTAGCGAGTGGCGACACAAGTGTATCAGTTGTGGACGAGTATTATAACGTAAATGCCACGGGGGACTGTGTAGATTTAGTGTCAGAAGTGTCATATGATACTGTCCCGTCGTCAAAAGCGTCATATGACAATTACAGCCCTGATAATAGCCTCGCCCTATCTACAAGGAAGTGATCAGGTGCGATAATTTCACGTGTTTGGGTTCAGCAAGAAGAGATCGAGGAGGGGACACCGAGCGGCCAGAAACCTTCCTCCGACCCTCCCCCTCCCCCTCCCTCCCCCTACAGAAAATTTCTCTCGCTCTTGCGCTCAGTCGAACTCGTCGCAGTCCGCCCGCAGCTGAAACCCCGATAAAACGAACGGACGCGAGTGCACGTTGTTGCGTCGCGTGTTCAGAGCTCGTTTGCAGGGGGGGGGGGGGGCTTCTCGGAAGTGAGAAAAATAAAAAAGGAGTGAATGGGATACCTCTATTATTCGATTATTTTTTCCAGTAATTAGGTTAGGGTCGAGAAAATATGTTCATGTACGCTAGATTACGCGCACGCGCGCATACACGCACGCACGCACGCACGCACGCACGCGCACGCACACACACACACACACACACACACACACACACACACACACACACACACACACACACACACACACACACACACACACACACACACACACACACACACACACACACACACACACACACACACACACACACACACACACACACACACGCATATGCTTATATGTATGTATATGTGCATATATATATATATATATATATATATATATAGCTTTATGTATATAAATATATATATTGAAATAAACACATGTTCTATATATATATATACTATATATATATATATATATATATGTATATATATGTGTGTGTGTGTGTGTGTGTGTGTGTGTATGTATGTATGTATGTATATATATATATATAATATATATATATATATATATTATACACACGCACGAATGACGCATACACATACATAAACACACTCACTCATTCACACACACACACACACACACACACACACACACACACACACACACAACACACACACACACACACACACACACACACACACACACACACACACACACAGTCTGAGAAGTTTCAAACGTAAAGACAGTTGAAATATAGCTATATTGCGTAGGATCAAGATTGGAATTAAAAACGAATATTAAAGTATATATATGTGTGTATGTATTATATATATATATATATTATATATATATATATATATATATATACACACACACACACACACACACACACACACACAACACACACACCACATATATATATATATATATATATATATATATATATATATATATATATATATATATATATATATATAATAAAGACATGTTTCTATGTGGACTGTACTATTGTGCCAAAAATAATGTTGCGTTAATGGTTGCTTTCCAATATGGTTGAAATTGTATTTGGTTTTCAGGTATAAATCCAAAGAGGTATAATATTTGAAGTATTTCAGTTGTTCCAAACCATTAATATACAATTGAAATTCCTGGGAAATTCGTGGATTGTACCCCAAAGTGTCTAATTGCCATCAATAGAGCTGTTAAGGGCCCTGGTACTGTTTTCATAAAGTATCACACGAACTAGTTTCTTCAGGTGATAAAGCAAACTCTAATGGCCATATGCTTAAAGAAATTGTGGAATCCACTCTTTGAAGCGCAACCCCTTTTCCTAAAAAAAAAAGAAAAAAAAAAGAAAGAAATCAACTGGTATACCAAAATGAGGCAAGAGGATAAGAACATTGCATTTTTGAAATTTGGCAGTCCTAAAAATAACGTCAAGACTTCCTACATATCGTGAAGATTCTAGATTAGAAGATTTTGTTAAAAAAGGGATTTGCGTCGCGGTTTCTTTAAATATACGGCCATTCATACGAGTGTTAAGGATCCTTTGGCTTCGACTGCTTCCTTCAAGGCGCAACAAGAATGCGGAAAAGTTGCCCCCGTGTTTCCTCAGGCAGTGCTACGGCCATGTTAAACGCTAATTGGGGGAGGAAGGGCTATCGCTATATACAGGTTTATACACAGGCATATGGAAAGTTAAAGATATATAATCATTCATATGAAGTATATATAATACCGTGTATATATAGGTGTATATATAATACCGCAATTTCAACCTTTTCAGAATCCTCTTGCACGCTTCCTTCAGCCATGTCGAAAGACCACACGATCCGAGATGCTCCTCCGAGCTACAGCGAGGCCGTGTACGGGGACTCTGGCGCCTCGAACGACTTCCCGCCCTCCTCGGTGCCCGCCGTCGGGGCCAACTACGGTCCGGCCGCGCCCCCGCCAGCGGCCCCCCTACAGCCGTACACCGGCTTCGACTACGCGCCCTCGCATCACCCGGATCTGAACCCTCTGCTCGCGTGCCATGCGCTGACGGTGGGCAGTAAGATGGGTGAGTTGGATGCGCCTTCGCTTCCTTGCGTAGTAATTAGTACTTTTTCATTGTTTGATACATGCGCTGTATATGATGACACATACATCATAAATAGAACCAAAAGCCTTTTCGTTTTGTTGCTCAGTAATAAATGTTAAAGGATGTATTAGAAATTATACCTGTATATCTTCAGGATTATGTACTTTCTGGCCAGGCCACACTGCTCGTTGAGGCATGTCCTTTCATTCGAGGGGAACTGGGAATGTGACAAGGGAGCGACCCATCAAGTGAAGGCGATGTAGTTTGTTGTTCGTGTCGGTCAAAACCAGATGATAAGCAATATATCGATATAGTGTACAATATCTTTGGATGACCATGAATTTCAATGAGCCGTTCGTGTGACAGAATAGACTCACATTTAAAAGACTCAGCTGTCTTGGTGGAGAGAATGTGTTCCAACGCAGGCAGTCTGTGGGTGACTGCCTTCTTGGGTTATGTAATCCTCTACCTTGGAGACAGCATCATGATCCCTGTGAGAGAATCACAACAGCGGAAACAAGAGCTCAGTGCCGTACTTTTTCTCATGGTTCCTCCAATTCGACAGTGCTCATTCAGTTCCTTTCGAAGTGTTATACCATCACACGGGAATAACTTGCTATTTCATATATTTCAGTTTTTAGTTAGGACAGATTTCAAGAATAAACAAATTATCGGTAAACAATTACGAAACGATAAGATATGAATAGGAAAGAAAATGACGGCAAGCAAAATTACCAGTAGTCTACACCCCCGTTATCATAGCATATATTTTCCAGGTCATCTCAGCTACAAGATAAAGGACATGGCTGGACAGCATGTTTTCACAGCCAAGGGGAAAATTGAAGGCGATTTTTTCAACTGCTGTGATCCGGCTGCAAGATGGATAGAATTCGATATCAGAAACCTTAACAAAGTCCCCTTGACTCATTTCAAGGTCATCTTCGAGGAATTGGGGTGCTGCACTTACCCAAAATCGGTAAGATATTTTTAACAGATTTTAATGCCTCTTTGTTGTTGTTTTCTTGGGGGAAATAGAAAGCATTGTCTTTCATTTCATATTTGCCCTATTTTTTTTTCCTCAACATAGTTATTGAGAATTATTTTCTTTCCTCCGGCCCCCTTCCACTTCTCTTTTCTCCCTCTCTCGCCTACCCCTCCCACTCCCTCCCCTCCCCATTCCTCTGATATGTCTCCTTCGGTACTTTACTATTTTTTATCAATGGAGACTGGTGAATTGGATCGCTTCAGTATCCATGTTATTGTTTGGACGAGTTTGAAGGATATAAAAGAGAGTATTTTCCTCTGTTGCCGCGTTTGGATGTGTCATAAAAGAGAGTATTTTCTTCTTGCATCGTTCGGATGTGTCATAAAAGAGAGCATTTTCCTCTGTTGCAGCCTTAATATGTATCATAAAAGAAAGATTCTTCCTCTGTCGTAGCATTAGTATGTGTCATAAAAGAATTTTCCTCTGTTGCAGCATTTGGATGTGTCATACGTCCCAGACATCCTGATCGGCCGGGTGAGGGTCCGGGGGAAGTACGCCTATGACATCACCAACACGGGAGGTGACATCATCCTGACAGTCGAAGGGGGAGTCGGATTCTGCGAAATATTGCCGTATAAGGTGGGATGTCAGATGTGACTCTCTGTCTCTCTCTCTGTCTGTCTGTCTCTCTCTCTCTCTCTCTCTCTCTCTCTCTCTCTCTCTCTCTCTCTCTCTCTCTCTCTCTCTCTCTCTCTCTCTCTCTGCGCTCTCCGTCTCTCTGCTCTCTCTGCTCTCTCTCTCCTCTCTCTGCCTCCTGCTCCTCTCCTCTCGCTCTCTCCCTACTCCCTCTCCTACATCTCTCTCCTCTCTCCTCTCTCCTTCTCCTCTCTCGCCTCTCCCCTCTCTCTCTCTCCCTCCCTCCACCTCCTTTCCCTCCCCCTCTAAATCTGCCCTAGACTCTCTCTCTCTCTCTCTCCCTCTCTCTCTCTCTCTCTCTCTCTGTCAGATCGTAACTAGATTCTCTCTAATGATAGAAGAGACAAACCCTCTCTCTCTCTCTCACCCACCCCTTCCTTTTAGTGTTGAAGCAACAGCGATACACGATTCGTAAACTTAGATTTTCCTAATGATAGAAGAGCTTGATAATATTTTTTAACGATAGAGTTAGATAACAGATTTAGGTAAAATGGTTAGATAACAGTTTTTTTTATAGGCGATTGAGTCAGATTACAGATTTTTCTAATAAAAGAGTTATTCTAACCATAGAAGAGATAAATAAAAGTTTTTTTAAGGATAAAATTAGATAACAGATTTCTCTAATAGTAGAAGAGTTAGAAAATATATATATTTTTCTAGCGATAGAGGAGATAGATCACTTTTTTTTTCCTAAAGATAGGAGAAGGTAACAAATTTTCCAAACGAGAAGTGTTTGGTAACAGATGTTTTTACAATGGAGGCATTTCCTAAAAGAATTTCATCAACCGAAATGTGAAATAAGAATTATGTAATGACGCCGAGCGCCAGTTTTGTCAACAAAATCCAATAGTTTATCTCTGCTCCTTTTTCAGATCTGCAGTCCCACTGGCGTCGAGGTCGGCAGCATCGAGCGCGTCGATGGAATCAAAAACCGAGTATTCTTCCCCAGTGATATGGACATCCGAGTTAAAGTTCAGCTTCTGTCGACAGCTGTCTTCATCGTAAGTATTACGCGTCTAATTGTTTATTATTATTATTATAATATTTTTGTATTTAGTGGTAGATTGTGTCCTTTAGAAGATAGATGAGGGGTTAGGAGGGAGGAGAGGGAGAGGGAGACAGAGGCAAAGACAGATAGACAGACAGACTGGAAAAAAAATGGGAGGGAGAGGGGGGAAATAACTAAGAGAGGAAGAGAAAGGATAGAGGGAGACAGATACATACTAGAAGAGAGAGAGAAGAGAAGAGAAGAGAAGAGAAGAGAAGAGGAAAGAGGGGGACAGTGACAGACTAGAAGAGAGAAAAGGAAGTGAGAGGGGGAGAGGAGAAATAAAATGAGAGAGAGAGAATTCAGTTCAGCTAGATTTGTGGTCATGCTTCGCCCGGGCCTTTTCTCTGGAGTCGCCCGGCCAGAGAGAGAATAAGTGTGAGTGGCAATTTAAGATAAAGGCGATAAGGGATTGGGGGGAAGGAGTGGGGGACACGGTCTGGGGAGGAAGGGGGTATCCTCTAGCTGTCAAGCGCCCAGTCCTGTAGAGGCGTCTTCATGTATACCGAATGATACTTTATTCGTAGCACTGTAAAGTTTAATCCAAAGCTAAAGTGCCGTGGCCAGATAGTACTCGGTATGCTGTCAGATGCACGAAGTCTGTCAGCTAAGACTGCTTTTTTATGTTTAAAAAATAAGTAAATAAATAATTGAGAATAAATAGATAAAAAAATTGACATTTTCCGCTAAAAGTGTCGTTGAACACATTGGTACTGATGTGGTAATGTTTGCTAAAGAACGAGGAAATGTCTATTTTCTGGCCAGTACAAGTACAAATATAATGCCCTTTATGCAGCGTCATTTTCTGCAATTTCGTGTAATGACAAGGCAGCATTGATAAATGGATGATAAATACTTGTTTGCATATCTTGACGTGATGTACATTTATAATTACTTTCAGGAATAGAAAATAATTTAAAAGCATAATACGCGTACTGCGTGGGATTTTGTTTATTATGAGGGAAATAGATGATTAAACAATGTCGAAATAGAGAAAATACATTCGCATTTGTTTACATTTTTATTCAAGCGATTTCTTCAAACCTCCACTGTTAATAATATATTTATATTTCGTTTGTCATGGTCAATCTTGCGAACGCAGATCAAGTAGGTAATTTACCAAAATGCAGTAGAAAAGTTGATTTTAGGACAAATGCATTTTTATCCCTTGATTTTAACATGTTACGTGGCAGATAAGGTACATAAATGGTTGCTATAACTTTAGGATTGTGTTGGCTATTTACTTGGTAATGATGTGCAATGGTACAAAAACATTCAGCGTTTTATGAACTGCATCCCGTCTGCGTAGTTTTCTGACAGCTGTTACACGAGTCTCCCATAAGTAGAACATACTAGTTGGCTTGGGTCACGTAGGTTCCGAATCTAAATTAGATTAGGGGAGGTCTGTCCCCTCTAAGCTCTTTCAAGTTTATTTTTATTTTGTATATTTTCATGGCATTTGGACACACGATTATTCTTTTATTCTATTACATCAGCAACATAAAGATGAAAGAAGACGAAAGAAATAACAAGAATACGATTTAGTCGTTCACACTTTTCCTAACTTCCTGGGGCCGGATAATCAAACGCATTACGGCGCCGTATCACCTTAAGGCGCCTTAGCTTACGGCCGAGTGTTCCTACGGCCCACACACAGAGCAAGGGACCCGCCATATTGGTACAAGTTAAGGCGCCGTAGACAAAGGCAGGGGGAGAGCAGCCTTAGCGGGGTTACGGTGAACCATAAATGACTTTTTTGTCTTAAAATAATTAATACAACATTACAATTTGTGTTTTACTCAGTTATGGTATTATTAGGTGTACATGAACCAATCGCGGACTACTAAATAAGGCAACAAGTGTAAGATTCTCCATAGGTTAGGTTAAATGTTATATATGTAAACAGTGCTGCCTGCGCTTCGGCTGTAATGGTTTTATTTATATATTTTTTTATTTTCATTGGTAATGTCAGATTTTGCATTATTGTTAACTCCCTTTTATTAGGAATATTGCACATTGCTTCTGCGTTACTTATTCTGGAACATAGAAAGTTTTATACCACGGGCTGGACACAGCGTTGTGGTTACCAAATCAGCTGATTAGCATTTACGGCTTGTGATAGGTCAAGATTCCTTCAGACGCGCTAGAGGCCTTAACTGTCCTGCGCTGACTTCATATACGGCCTATCAAAGGCGCCGTGTCTCGGGACTTCGAATACACAAACATTTTTTTCCGGCACCTTATCCCTGCCTTAATTTCCGCCGTAAATCAAATAAGGCATCGGATTTTCAGTGGCTAATTACAACTGCTGTTTCAGGCGGCTCATAAGTTTAAGGTTGTTTTGAGTATCCGGCCCCTGCTCCTTTAATCTCAGAATAACGAACATTTATTGATATAATTGTACATAAGTTGGGCCCAACTATCTGAGCAATTCAGTTATTTAATGAAAAAACACGATTGTATATTGCCTGTATTATCCATCCAATTTCTTTCATTTTCCATTGGTATAACTCAAGTATACAAGTGTCAGCACAATTTACATAATTTTACTTATAATTTCCCTTTTGTTGCATAAAAATGGGATCACTGGCTTTCATGAATTAAAAAAAAAACAATAAATAAAATCTTCGAAAGTGTCACATTAGTCATATTCCCAACCTAGCCTCACCCCACACAAGGGCTTTTTAACGTTTGGTAATTAAAGCAGTATAATGTCAACTGGTGTGACATGTATAGGAAACGCCTCTGTATTATATTGAAGCAAGGCTTATATTTTTTGTATGAAGGATATTTGTATGTGTGTGTGGGAGGAAGGGTGACCTTCGGGTGACATGTATAGGAAATGCCTCTGTTATATTGAAACAAGGGTCATATTTTTGTATGAAAGATATTTGTGTGTGTGTGGGTGGGTCTGTGTGAGGGTGTGACGCCTCCCCCCCCTAGGCCTTATATAGGATAATTCTGTAGATCATAACAGAAGCTTTGGATCAAGGAGGTTCCGAACTATGGATCAGATTAGGAGAGATTTGTACTCTCAGGTTTATTTATATTTTGTGTCTCTTTTATGGAATTTGTATAATCTTTTATTCTTTTATTCTCTTCCAACAGCAATATTTAGATGAAAGTAGACGAAAGAAATAACAAGAAGTCGATTCAGTGCTGGCTCTCTTCGTTCACTCGCTTCCTTCCTTTTCTGCTCGGTCTCTCTCTCTCTCTCTCTCTCTCTCTCTCTCTCTCTCTCTCTCTCTCTCTCTCTCTCTCTCTCTCTCTCTCTCTCTCTCTCTCTCTCTCTCTGTCTCTCTCTCTCTACATATTTTTGCACATTGCCAAAGATTAAGCGGTGACCACCCCGAAGCCCATCGTTGGATTTATGAACACAAACTCCTGGAAGGCAAACGGAAAGTTCCTGGCAACTCCCTTCTCCGACTCTACCAACTTCCAGAAGAGAGATGTTCCAAATGCCTGGACCTCAACCAAGAGTTCACCGAGCGTAAATGCAAATCTTGTACCTAGGTGCACCTATTCGAATTATACTTGTCCATTAGTGTCTTCATCCCATCGTCATAGACCTACTAGACTGCCTGCAACTGTACCAGATTCCCGTATCAGCAGTGACTAGAACCATGAACATTTTTATGGCATTCGGTGACTACGCGACTACTTTTCCCCTGCGCTTATTTGACTAAGACATCCTTCGAACTCTGTCCTGCCTCCATGAAGACGGTAATACTCAAATTGAAATTAAACATTCCTCTTGTGTCGAGAGAATCCATTCATCAAGTGCCTTCATTCTCTCCATTATACGTCCCATACTTGTGTTATTTAATGTATTTAGGTCTTCACTCAGTGCTAATGGCTGCACTCGTTGATTCAGTTTTCAGAAAGTAAATATCCCGTGTACCTGTAGCAGAAATTGATTCATAGCAGTAAATGAGAGTATCGTCTTTCTTTATATTGTTAACCCATACTGACCCGACCGTGAAAAAGGACTGTCGAGTTTGCTAAGCTAAAACTGTTGCATGATGTTTATATTATCTTTCAGAAAATAGTGAATTATTTTCATCTCAAAAGTGTAAGACCGTGTAGAGACTGGCACTAACTGATGTTGGTACTTCTTCCATTTTTACTACTGAAAGACGATATACTAGGAATATTAAATGAGCTCAGTTTATCCATCTCATACATACCATTTTCTTTGTACAACTCGTCACTATCGCCGACACGGCTTTGGTGGTCACTTGACATTTTGTGTTTCTATATGCACAACAGAATTTCGGGTACAGGCTGATTTAGCAGGGTTTTGAGGCAGGG